GAGAATATTCTAACAGGTTTCCAGATGCTGCTGGAGCTGCGGCTGGGGATGTTTTGAGAAGTGGTCCTCTAATTACCCCTTGGAAGCATCAGGCTTTGGGAAGGGAACTGTGCGGTGCATCCAGCCACCCTCTGCCAGTCTGGAAGCCTGTGTGTCTCCCATTACTCTGGGCTCTGCTTCTTCATCCCTGAGCCCTTGCCTCTTTGGAGACTTCAAGAAAAGGAATGAGCCCCAGTGGAGGTTGAGGAAATAAAGGAAGATGTTAGAGTGTAAAATGCCTCCATCCCATGGGTGCTCAAACCCCAGCACTTTCTGCCAGTTCCCCGTGTCTCTCCTGAGGCTGGGGGCAGCTACTTAGTGAAGAGGGGGGAGGGAGGGAAAGAAGCTTACCCTTGCCCATGGCTACTGCCACCGGAAGCCAGTCACATCATCTGCTGGGGAGGGCTCAGTGTGCATTGAGGTCAAGGGGAAGTAAAATGTCACATTAGGCACTTGAAACTCCATGAGTGTGAGCAAGGCTGACAGTATGTACATACAAGTATGACTGTGTATAGCGTAGATGACACGTGTAAATGAGCATTTTGCTCATGTACATGTGACATGCATGCGCGTCTGCCTGTATGTGCACAGGTAGATCTGTGCTTGGACATGAATGTTTGCATCTGTATGTGTATGTGTGCTAATGAACAAATTGCATGATCACCATCTAGGAACACAGATATGCATCTGTGAGTACACACAAGTACATGCCACAGTATCTGTGTGTATGTGTGCACAGAATATCATATACTTCAATGTTCGTGTGTGTGTGTGTGTGTGTGTGTGTGTGTGATGACCTATGTACACATGTATGCCTCTATCTGTATATGTGTGCCTGCGCACGAACCTGCCTGCTCACACTCCTTGTCCTCAGGCCACAGCCCAGCCCTTTGACTACCAGAGTTTCTCATGAATTAGGCATGAGCCCGTCTCTAAGCAGGGCTCCCGATCAAAGCGAAGAGGCATAAATAAGCCCAGTGCAGGCTCATCTCGGCTGATTGGAGGCCCCCGCCTTCCTCCATGCAGAGATGCTCAGATTGCCTTTTCAGAGCCCAGTCCCAGCTCCCCACCGAGCCTCAGTCCTCAGCATCAAGCAGCCACTGCACCCTCACCCTCCTCTCCTGCAGACGGCCCAGGGAGGAGGGCAGAGGGGGGACACAGATCCTGCTCCCCAGCCAGCACTCTGGGGCTCCAGGGCCCATCCGCCAGAAACAGCAGCTGAGTGTCCCCAGGCAGGACCAGCCCCACATCCATGCTCTCCTGACATCACTTAATCCTTCTCTGCAACCAGTCACGTGGTCCTAGGTGTGTGCCCACGCTTCACCTGTTTCTCTGTCGTTCTCCTCCTGACAACCCTATAGAACAGATGAGTATCATCCCCTCCATGTTACGCACAGTGGAAGGAAGGCTCAGAGAGGCTAACTGACTTGTCTAATGACACACAGCTAGAAAACTGCAGAGCTGGGATTTGAACCACACCTTACTGTAAAGCCTGTGTTCTTTGTCCTCTCATTCGGTTTCTCTCAGGATCCCACTACAGTGGGGTCCTCAGCAGTCTCCCTTGGGGAAGAACAAAGCCGTGGTGGGTTGGGCCATGGCCAGCACCGTCTTGACACATTGTAGTGGCTCAGTGGATTAATAAAGTTGGGTGCTTGGTGCTGTGAAAGGGTCGGCATTGAAAGGTGGCAAAGCCAAGAGAAGCCAGTCCAAGAGGCAGTGGTGAGCACAGACACCAAGCAGGCGGCACCCCACCCCGACCCCAGATATCCCAAGTTTAAAACAAGTTAACTTTGTTTCTGTGGTTCGCGTACTCCTGGTTAGGCAGGACACAGGGGCCAAGAGATGGCTCAGTCAGTAAAGAGCTTGCCGTGTAAACTTGAGGACCTGGGTTCATATCCCCAGCATCTGTATAAAAGCTAGGCATGGAGCTCGAGGGATGGCTCAGCGGTTAAGAGCACTGGCTGCTCTTCCAGAGGACCTGGGTTCAATTCCCAGCACCCACATGGCAGCTCACAACTGTCTGTAAGTCAAGTTCCAGTGGATCTGACTCCCTTACAAAGACATGCAGGTCAAACACCAGTGCATATAAAAAAAATTTTTTTAATTAAAAAAAAAAAAAAAAAAAAGCTAGGCCTGTTGGAACTGACCTGTAACCAAGCATTGGGTGTGGGGTAGATATTGAAGGGCCCCTGTACCTCGGTGGCCAGACTGCCTAGGTGAATCAGTAAAGCTTCATGTTCAATGCGAGACCTTGTCTCAAGAAATAAAGAACAACTGAGAAATATACCAGATATTGGCCTCCAGCTTTCACAAGCATGCATATATGTGTGGCATGTGCACTTGCGCACATGGCGCGCGCGCGCGCGCGCGCACACACACACACACACACACACACACGAGCATGTAGATGAACCCCAAAACAAATAAGTAAATAAAACTCCCATGGCAAAGAGTAGAACACAAGAGAAGGAGCCACAGGAAGCAGGATATCCAGCTCTTGGGCCCCAGGCCCCTTGAGCTCAGCCAGCTTTTGCAGGAAGCTGTGAGGCTAGAGTCTGCCCCTTGGCTCCAAGGGAGGTTTGCTGGGAGAATTGTCAGGGAGCAGCAGACATCACAAACACCGTCTCCTGTGTTGTCCTCCCTCCGTCTTGGAAGATAAAAATTAATTAGGAGATGAAAAAGGAGGCCTTTGAAAGCACTGTTTGGCTGTAAAAATATGTAGGCAAAAAAATGTAAAGGAGGCTGTGGGGGAGGTGAGCTCCTTGCAGGGGAGCTGGGCGGCTTTGAAGGGAGAAGATGCTGGAAGAGATTCTGCAGGGATTGTGGCCTCTATGAGTGGTAGAGCTGGGAGCTCAGCACAGTGGGGCTGCTGAGGGAAAGCATGGGAATCTGGAGCCTCAAAAGCCGGGCTCCCCAGCCCGAGGTATGGCTGAGCCCTCCCCCTCATGTAGCCTCAACTGTAGCGTCCTACCTGGAAGGGGCTTGGAGGGGCTGTCCTGCATCCCTAGGCGCCAGCTGAACAGTGATGCTTCTTCCCCAAGCTAGAGGGCTCAGGAAGCTACCCAGTATCTCCAGCCCCCTCCCTCTGCTGCCCCCCCTCACAGCCCTCGACCCAGCTTGCAGCAGAAGCAGGGTGGGAGGACCAGGCAGCAGCCAGTCTGGTCCAGCCTGGTGCAATCAAATGCCAGGCTTTAAAAGCAGGCCCACCGAGATGTGTCCTGGGTGGTGTCTCTGATGGGTGACTTTGAGCAAGTCACCTCATTGCTCCAAGCTCCAACTTGCTCACCTGGACATAGTAAACACTGATTCCTACCTATGACTGTTCCCTAGAGGATTCAGCCAGCTCCTAGACCTTCAGTGTTCATCAGGGGTCAGGGGAGATCTTGTCCCAAAGCCCCTCCCAGCACCCCCCCCCCCACAGGCAGGCAATTCAAGCAGAAAGCACCTCTGACACCCGGAGACTCCCCTTTCTCCAGGTCCTCGGGACTGGGCTTTGGGGTAGATTTCACTGCCTCTTTTCATGACCTGCGCTTTTGCACAGAGAACAGAGGAAACTGGGAGTCAGCTCCTAAAACCAAAGGATTCTATCCCTGGGGAGGCAGAGACAGGCAGATCTCTGTAAGTTCAGGCTTAGCCTGGT